TGCTGGCGTGGAAGGTGCGGGAGACGAGGGAGACGAATCCGCTAATGACGAAGCCAATGCGGAGCGTGAGTCAAAAGAGCGCAAGTTCGACTTCCACCGATTCACATCCAGATTCACGCCTCAGGGAGTCGTCGATACATTCGTCGCCTTCACCAAATACTACCGAGATCTCGATGATGCTCAGCTCAAGCGTGCTCATCGCTACTTTTACCGTCTCGCGTTCAAGCAAGAGATGAGCGTCATGTTGTTCCGCGTTGACATCATCCATCTCTTCCATGGCATGATCAAGGGCCCGGAACCTCTCAACAAGAGCTCCGGAATGTACAAGGAGTGGGAAGAACTCTCTAAGCAGATCATCCGAAAGTGCATCAAGAAGATCGACGAGCGGCCAGAGCTTATCATTGAGATGCTCTTCTCCAAGATCAACAGCACGGCTCACTACCTCGAGTTCGGCTATGAGAAGCAGACGATCTCTCTGTCGCACGCAAAACCCGCCGCAGAACTCGAATTCAAGTACACGGAAGACAGGGAGCAGCAGATTGCTATTGTCGTTGGCGTCTTGCTTGACAAGAATCAAGCTGATCACATCGCTTGGGTCAAGAAAACGCTCGAGACAGTCGAAAGCGAACGTCGTGCCTGGGCAGCAGCAAACGAGATCATACCGTCGGTTGAAGGCACTGATGTGCTGCCGGAGAATGGCGCATCCAACGACCAGGCCCTGCCTGATGTCTTCAGTAAGTTAAAAGTCTTCCCAGCGCCGCGCATGAACTTGCTAACGTCCATTAGCCGTACGTCCGGATGACGACTCTCGCAAGACGGCAATGTTCAAGAACTCCCACTTGCGTCTTCTCATGAAACTGGTTGGTATGGAAAGGCTCGCACCAATGCTTGATGAGACATCACAGTCTCTTTGGGTGCTCCCTCCTCCTGTCACCGCGGACCACTTGCGTGAGAGCCTCGACTTCATCAACAAGGCTGAATTCAGTCCGCCAACCTTTGACGATGGTCGATCCGCCGAAGATCAGCTTCGGCGCAAGAAGGCGCCACGAAAACGCGTGGAGTATGATGACGATGACGACGACGACATGTTCGATGACGGCCCGCTGTTCGAGCCCCTTGGCCCGACAGTTCACAAAGCGATCGACGCGCCTGCAAAGAAGACGAAGAAGAGACGTCGCAGAAAGGCGACCGAAGACGAGGAGGCGCCCAATGACTCGGAACTCGAAGAAAAGGCCAGGAAACGCCGGGACCGTGAGAGGGAGAAGATGAGAAAGATCAAGAGTGAGGCGTATGTGCACGCTAGCGATGACGAGACGGACGAAGAGTACGATCGCGAGTTCTTCATTCGTGAAGAGGCTCAGCGGTCCCGCGTAGCCAAGGTTGCGGAAAAGGTGGTCGCGGAGGTTTCCCAGACCACGAAGCGGGCAGCTGCGATGCAGCTAGACGACAGCGATGACAATGACGATGACGTCCTGGCCATCACAAGAGGCACGCCACAGTCAACTAGGCCCAGCGCTGATGTGGACATGGACGATGGAAGTGGAGAGGAAGACAATCACACTCCGCTGACGTCGAGTCCGGTTTCGTCGCAAAGTAAGAATGGAAGAAAACGGAGAAAGTTGTCTCCAGATGCTTCTGCCACGGCAGAGGCTGATGAGGAAAAGGAGGCGGACGCTGACACTGAAGATGATGATGTTCCGGCGGCCGCGGCGAGGCCAAGAAAACGTACTAGGGGCGGCTTTGTAATGGATAGCAGTGACGAGGAATAGCCTTGCTGGATTTGGGCGTTTGGATTGTCGGGTCTTGGGATTCGGAAGACCTAGATGCATAGCGTAGGCGGTATAATGTTGATCATATGATTTACGGTTGCACTGATATTCGGCCGAATGAGAAACCAACCACATAGCGAGTGGTCTTGAGGCCCATGTAACCAGAGTCCAAAATACCAGACAATGCCGTGCTGGTCCGTTATGTCCTGCAGTGCATGGCCCTCTCGGTCGCGTCTGCGGTTCTACACTTGGTAGATAATGGCACAGAGAGACTCGGCTCTTCTGGCCCACCCATAGTGCAAGAACCTAATCTACTCTTTTCCATAGAGAAATCTGATGGAAGACAAGCTGCAGTTGGCTATTCCTGGGACGGGGGAATCGCTCGAGGGCTTGTCTGGACTCACCGATGTTTTGCTGGGAAGGTTAGCCGTCTTCTAGCCCCTGAGTTGGTATGGCGACATGTGCCGCAGCAACAACCCCTCCGAATAAGTGCACTTTTCGCTCCCTGAAAGATAACGCCAGAGGGAAGAGTCCGACGGTGTGTAGAATTAAGATGGCTAACGCTTATTCTCCACTACCTTCGGAAAGCCTGTTCCACCTGCGTGGGTCCTACCGGACCGGGCCGACCGCCGGCCGGAGCAGCGAACGGCAGCTATGTTAGCCTAGGTAAGCCTCACCGGTTAACGCCAGATACACCACTTGATGCAGTTGCAGCGCACGCGTACCGCTCCCTCCATACCCCGGCGCGTTCAAGCGAGAGGTTTCATTAGACGGGCAAGGCAGACAGGGTGATCGTGACGTGAGCACCAACCGACAGCGCGCCCGTTGGTCATCCCCCAGCTCCCCCTGCCCCTGCCCCTCCCGCGGAAGCAGAAACGGAATCCCCTGGCGAAGCCTCGCCGCTCCAATGCCGGGCGAAAATCGATGCCGGGTCTGCAGAAGGGCATGTTTCCCATGAGCTAGCTCCCAGGGCGATCGGCATCCACTCGTTGTCTTGACGAGGACCTGCACCTCGACGTTCCCGGACGCGTCCAGTGCCACCACCTGACCGGGATCCCTAGCTAGCGACTGTCCCCCCATGGTATTGCAGAGCCTCCTCAGTGTGCCGGAGTTGCTGTGGAAAGGGTCGCGGTGCGCAAAAGGTGATGGCTGTGGCAGCCTGACTTTGGTCCGAAAATCCTCTCCCGGGTTAGGGCTTGCGCAGGTTTTCCTGTGTCTGAAGCAACTTTGATCAGCGTACCGAGGGCAGTTTTGTGAGGACGGCAGTGGTGAAGCATGATCAGATTTGGTGGAAACGACTTTTGTACAGAGCTTTATTTCGCTGACCAGCCGTATATATCCTTTTCCTCTATAGCTTGTTATGACACCAAGGCTCTTATCGCCCCCTGTGATGCCATCCGGCCGCAGTCTTCTCTGGTATTGATTTGCGGATCTCCGAGTCGTTGTGAAAGATACTAGGGTCCGGCATTGCGCACGTGTTCACCTTCCAGAAAGTAGCCAATCGTCAAGCCCTACTTAGGCGTCTTCGATTTCCCTTTGGTAGATTTCTCTTTGGTAGATTTCTTTTGTGAGTTGCCTTTCCGAGAAACCAAGATGGGCCCTGAGCCAGATCTTCTGGGGAGGTCACTGGAGATAGGTGCGGGTGGCCTTGCTTTTGTGAACCACGATTTTTGGCTATCGGAAAACTCAAGGGCTCGTACCTGGGGGTTTCTTGTTTTTTTCCTTTGTCTTGCATCGTCGACATGGTGTCTGCGCGGAAAAAGACGCGTGTGGGTTGCTTATGTCGGTGGTTGGTAGTGGTTGCTCTGATGTGAAACTTCAAACTCTTGCTCTGCCAGCCCAGAACTGTCGGACGGGGAATGGCAAAGTTGCAGGTCGGCACAGATTATTGGAAATGGCGACCAGAGGAAAATATATAGGAAGACGGCCCGTCGATTTTTCACACTCTTAACTTCGGAACTCGCAAGTGTGCGCCCTAAGGTGCGGGCAAGGGTGCTCTGCATGAGACGAATCCAACGAAGGCCTCATATGTGACCAAGCCGAAGTATGAGGCGTTCTGGTCTTCGCTTCTGCTAGAACGCATGCGGTGCCAAGGGCAGAAAAGTACAGCATACAGCCTTGTCCCGCCATTGCTCAGTTGGCGAGGTTGACCACCCCGACACAGGAGCACGGCCAATATCCGCAGCGGCCGCTTGGCTGCTTCTGCATCCTGGGGGTTATCGCGTGTTGCTGGCTGTGTTGCTTCACGGCTGTGAAGCGGTCAAGTCTCGAGGAACCCTACGTGATACTCCCGTATCAATCCACCAGAGGATCCGAAGGAGCTCCGTTACCTGCCGCGAGCTTGTTCTGATCTTAGGAGACAGGTCATCGGCAGGGGAGGGGCCTGTCGGTGGCGTTTTCGCTCCCTGCTCATTACGGCCCTGTACAGACCAGTATGTCTGGATCAGAGTTGCGGGAGCAGACTTAGGGCTGAAAAGGACTGCGAGAAATGGTGTGAGCTCTTCGACCTGTGAGCCAAGCTGGTCATTCTTCATGTTGCGCATGGAGACCACCGAAGAGGTTGCTCTCCGCAATCCGTCCTGCCGAAACCCAACGGCGATCATCAGGAGCCGCAGATGAGCTCATCCGACAGTTTGGCCATGCTGTAATGAATCCGGAGAGCCTTCTGGTTGTCGCAGAGCCTGTGCAGCGAGTGGCGTTCTCTGCTGCTGAGGCATCCGCGCAGAGGAGACCCTGTCCGCTCATTAAAACTGGCAACACACCCTGGCGTTCAGCTTCGTTGTCCGACCGTCAATCCTTCTTTTGCAAGCCATGCCGAACCTGCTTGTCACCCCGATACTTTCTGCAATTTTTTCGCCGATTGCTCTTCTTCCTTTTTACTTTCCCCCTCGATTCTTGACTTCAAGATTGCCAGGCGCAGCTGGTGCAAAAGAAAGGGGGGAAAAGAGAGGGAGAGAGTGCACACTCGACGTATGTGGCAGTGGGACCCATGGCTTCATGTGCCCCCGAAACCCCTGTAAAGGTCGCAAAAGCACAGGCTGAACTATGAGCGCGACAGCATCAGTTCGAGTCCCCTTGGACGCCAGGTCAGTTTACCATAGGTCCTTTTCTGGGTCGTTCCTAACCTTATCACAGGCTTTCTGGCACTTGTCATCAGCGCGAGTGGAAGGCCAAGGCGACAGCCGGGAATATTCCCGATTGACGACCTGGAGCTCGTTTATCCGAACAGCTTCAAAGCATACCGTCGGACGCACCCTATGATCTTTTAGACACGAATGACGAAAAAAATCGGGAGTTGAAGAGACATATACAAACCCTCAAGACAACAGACGTCGTCAAAGTCGTTCCATGTCGTTGGGTCTCGGCCAGGCTGAAGGAAGGCCGGCGGCTCTCACTAGCCACGGCGCCACCCGAGAGATCGTTATGTTGTGCAGCCACTGGACAAGGAGCAGTGACCAATCTAGGCCTCGATTGCTGAGACAGACAGCTGACAATCCTAGAAACGTGGGCGGGCGATTGCATATGTAGATGCGACCGAGGGAAGCCACCTGCTCTTCCCTACAGACGTCCCAGCATGGGGTATGCGCGTCCAGGGGGGCTGTGTGGTTCGCGGCCCGGATTCCCCCAGACTTGAAGTCTTTGCACGATAATATTTCTGGATACTGTTCCTGCTGGTTGGGTATCGTTTGTGCAGCATCGCAGGAAGCGTGGGGCCTGGTGAGGCATCCATGAGCAAACCATGGATTGCGATTCGCAGGGTGGCAGGTTGGCGGGATAATGCGGAACAGCAAGGCCTAAACGAGGATGGGAGTGTGTGGTGACCTTCCTCATTCTATCGCTCCCTTCGGCGTCCTTCTGCTTGACGTCCGCTTCAGCCAAATCACTCGAATTGAGGAATATTGTCGAGTTGAATATGAATTCTCCGTTGATCAAATTATGCCGGAGGGAAATATGAAGGGATAAATCCCATGTCTGCCATGCCAAGGGTCCATCTGAGCACCGCATTTTCGGCACAACAAGCAGCGAGTTGAGCCAGAGGCTGCCCACGAGCTTTCCATTCGTCCGGGCTTCCCACTTCGTTGGCCAGCTCGATTCCATTCACAGATAGTGGAAGTCTAACACCTTGTTCCATCCAGGGGCTCGGTAGCTTCGCTTGTCGAGCCCTGTAGTTCAGGGGCAGTTATCTTCCGACTCAGGCTGATATCTGATCGGCCACGCAGCGATATCTCAACGTCTTCCGCATTTCCCGTCATGATTGAAGAACAGTGATCGAAAATCAGTCTCCTTCATCGCTGCCAACAGTTGTCGCCTTGCCATCAACGGACCAAACCAAGCTCCACCGATGATGCTCTCTGACTGAAGAAAGTTGGTTTGACCTGGTAAGGTAGCAATCAATCGCTTCAGTCGCGGCCCAACGCAGAGTCTACCCACTCCAGAAGCCACTCTCCAGAGGCAGTCGATTGTTCTCCTGGTTCAGATGACGATTCTATTTCCGTTCTGTAGCCCCCAAATATTCACGATTAATGGCAGAAGCCTCCACATTCGTCACCCTCACTAGTAAATGCCATCTTATTTGACGGGCCCCTCTCCCATGGCCTTGCTCGAAATGCCAAAGAGCTATTTCAAGGCCCATCATCGTCATTTTGGCTGCCCCAACCGCTACTCCATCATTTGAGTTTCTGGTCCGTTGGAAGACATCGAGAAGGCTACGAATAGGCAAGCAGCCCATCACACCATGGCTCACCGCAACAGTCCGCCTTGGAGCAGCAAGTCCACAGGATGGTAGACAGCTCAGCATTCTGAGGCGCGTACGGTGAGACCTTGCCCATCATATCCTGTCCCCCTACACCACTTCATCAATATGGGGTCCAAAACGTCGACGACCAACATCGCCCACCTTTCTCGTTCTTGCGAGGCTCGCGCATCGTAGTACTCGAATCAAGTTATCAATCTTGACTCGATCCATCGATAATTGGGCTATAAATCTGACTCTATCGGCCGTTTCCTTGCACCATTTTGCTCACGATGGACGACACGCCCCCCTTGAGTGCGCCCTTTCTACGCGTGTCCGAGCAATGACGACTCTACCGATGACCGATATCGAGGCTGGCCGAGTCCACAGTGACACCTCGCCGCCATCTCTTCCCCCCAAAGGCCACAAAAGCTCATTGAAACTACCTTCTTGGGCATTTGGTCAATGGCTATCGCGGCCTGCGGTCCATTCTTCTCCAGGTCCGCCTCTGTCAACGCCCGAGCGCGTGGGAGCTCAGCTGACGGATACTAAAGGGGGTTCAAACAAGAACACCTCTGGAGACTATTTCTATCCCGACGATAGTGAGTTCCATACTCTGATTGGCCGATTGCCTCTTGTTGACAAGCCGCTGCTCAAGTTGGCAGATACCGCGAGGGCTTACCTCGCCTCGCAGCCCAGCAGGTATACTACGAGAACTTTGCAATATACCGCAGGTTTGGTTACCTCTCGCAACGGTGCTTGAACGAGGATCAAATCAGGTTGAATGCTCTCGAAGAGCATCTTTTCAAGCTGGAAGATGGGCTAGCAGACAACGGGGTGCCAGCCTGTGATACTCAAGTCGGGCCGTCAAGTGGTAGAGAACACAACTGGTTCCCATTGACTGTGTCTGGCACTATCCAGGAGATTGGTTCCTTGCTTCCCAAATACCGTATGTCCAACACCGTATTGCCTCTGTGGAAGACAGTGAAGTTAACTGGGGAAAGACCAGATGTTACTCAACGATCAGGCGCTCAAGTCCCTGCACGAGGTTCGGTACGACGAATACTGCAATATAGCTAGAAAAATTAAAGCAGACGGATACTTAAGCAAGGACGAAATGGCCTACCTTAGACACCATTCTGACTTTGTCAATACGGGGACCGATCCGTTATGGCTGACTTTCGAATCATGGCTTTACAAGCTCCCGAACTTTCTTCTGGTGGTAAGCATGGCCGCGCTCGCTCTGCTCCCAGAAGCGGTATGCTGATGATATCTCTACCGTAAAGCCCTTACTCGAGGATAGAGGAACGACAAAGGAGGGAAACGCCTTCTTCTTGTCGACCCCCCTCGTGCGCTTTCTGTTCAGGACGTTGTTCATATGGTTCTACGCATTCATATTACTGATCCCGGTGATCTTATTCTCTCTTGTCCAAGACATCAGCAGAGCAGCTACCGTCGGCCTACTTGCCCTGTTCACGATCCTATTTACAGCCTCTATGGCTCTTCATAGTAGCAAGGCTGACAACATGCTTCTTGGAGTATGCGCCTATGCGGCTGTGCTTGTTGCGTTTCTGGCCAACGTCTAGGTATGATCAGCACTCAGCAAGGATTTGCCCAGGCGATGCTTCTGCGCCATATGCGCTTGGGAAACTCGCCCGTGGGTGCGGTGGAGGAGATTGTTTCGCACAGAGTACAGATATTCAGTTACGCTTGTCAACTCTAGGGTAACACCGTTATTGACCATATATGACCAACGTCCGGATAATGATCCTATTTCCACGTCAGGCTCAGCTTGCTCTCAGAGGTGTATATCCGCGTCCAACTGTACAACTAAGTCTTCTATTCCCAACGCCATTTTTTGAGCCACCTCATGCCGCCATTTCATGTCTAACAGGGGTTGGCGAGTATGCCTCAGAAACCCCGTGATTACCCTGCAATTCCACAGGGATCGACTGTTGATTAGTGCTCGCTTCATGGACCTGGGTCATAGCAGGCTCCGTGTGAGCACCGCCATCAGAACCGAACTTTGAGACCGGAGTGTAGTTTGCGGGATCAGGAGTCCCCGGGCGCTGCTTCTTTCGCTTGAGCAAGAATGCGGCAAGCCCAGCGATGACAGCCAGTCCTGCTAGTCCGCCGACAACGCCGCCGACAATGGCACCCGTGGGCGTCCCGGATTTCCCAGAGCCGCCAACGTTTGGAGATGATGTCGGTGTATTCGTAGGATCTGGAAGTGAAGCTTCTCTTGAGATTAGTTGCAGTCTCACATTGCTGGGTCGATGCTCACTTACACTCTTTGAATAACGCTTCCACTTCGTCGCTTGACCAGTCCACCTGATTGCCCTGGCTATACCAGTTCTGAACTACCTCGGGAGACTCATACGCATCCGCGTTTGCATTATATTGATCACTCCAACGCAACTCTGTCATGTCGAAGATGCCGATTCCCTGAGGCCATGGATCTTTGTCTGTCAACGACGAGGGCCAGGCGCGGCCGTTCGTTCCGCCGACAGTTATCATCTGTCTCCCAGTTGCAACACAAGCCTGCTCCAGGCGTCTGGTCGATTGCGGATCGTTGGCCTTGAAGAAGACAAAACTGGGCAGGCTCAAGACGTAGACGTCGTCGGTAGCATTCCGTATCGATTCTCCAATGACCCTCCCGCCGTAGATGAAGCTGAATTGGGCATTCGTGTGAGCTGCATGTAATTTCGACAAAATTCCCTGCTTACATTTCATATGTCTTGTTAGGTCCTTGGACACCAACAGTACAGAACTTCTCTGTTGGTGGTGGAATGCTGCTCTTCGATCCGGTGGTCTGCTGGGAGTGCCACTTATTGGCTACCATTGGCTTAGTCGAGACTCGTGGGTTTTGATGTTTTCACTCACCCTTTATATCATATAAATTGACGGAAGTGAAGTCTACGCCTGTCCAGTTGCCATAGCCAGTCTCTGTCGATGCTCCTTGGAAACCCCCCAACACGAGTATTAAACCGTCCGGCCCAAAGGGCACATATTCCATGGTGCCTCCCTTGAATGTAAAGTTTCCAGACCCTTGGAAGGTAGTATGGTTGATCGAGCCTGTCTTCAAGTCGTAGGACACAAACCCTGGAACGTTGCGGGTCTTGTCCTTGTCTGTAATAGACAAGTCGGTTCGCGCGTTTGCATAGCCTCCAAAATAGTAGCCGGTGGTTTTGCTCTGGCAAAAAGCACCCTCTGTTGCTCGATCAAGTTTGTATAGCTCGGCAAGATTGGGCGGACTCCTCTTTGACCAGGTGCCGCCTCCATTGCCGTCAACCTCGAAACGCCAGATATCGTTTTCCGGTGGTTTACTCCAATAAGGAACTTGCCCGCCCCAGATGTAGAATGACTTGGACTCTGTATCGCGCCATATACCCTGGAGTTCCATCCTGGGTGTTTCGCCCTTAGGGGCAGAAAGCATCGTGACATTCGCGCTATTCCAGGACTGCTTCAAATTAATCGATAGCGTCGAGTTCACTAAACAAGAAGGTCAATGACTTGTTGTATTGCATTGGGAAGATGAGCTAAACTAACCTGGCCATGACGGGGTGTAATACGAGGACATATTCTTGCCGTCATAGTTCTGTGCGACTTCACCACCATCTATGTACAGATAGTCACCGATGATGATAGCTGAAGAGAGATTAGCTCCCAGCTATCAAATTTGACCACAACAAACCTGAAGCAAAAGCTCGACGTAGGAAGTCAGAAATTGGCGGCACGTCGTCACGCCGGGTGAGTTCTGGCGGCTCCGACATGATTTGGCCATGAGCTGCCGCTAGCCATGGCAGCAGAAGGATGATCGATAAGCGCATCGAAAGCGGTTGTCACAACAGAAGCAGAAGTTTGTGATTGGTATGGGTTAATTCCAATTACTATGGGAAAGAGGGAGATAGGTAGCTCATAAAGGAGCGAATGCTTGCTGCCTGACACCTAACTCTCGCCCCTCATCCCTTCGAAGGCCAAGGCTAGATGTCGCAGAAGAAGGGGTCGAAGTCCTACATGAGCCCGTAAGCTCTACCATTCCTTAGTGAAGGCGAAGACCACGTTTAAGATGTACCGATCAGCCTTATGAGGGTGAGTGGCACGTTGTTGACACTGCCTGTGTTCGATGGCCAGCCACACATAACCGCATTCATTCTCCGGTGCTTCGGGTGGCGACACTTTTCTGAGTGGTATTTTCAACGACGATCGTGTCTTTCTTTCTTTTTAGTGATTACATGGTATCATGCACTGAGACTACAGATGAGACAGGTCGTGCAAGTTCTCGTCTAGAATAGAGGATCTCATGCGTCTAAGTGAACCGACTGTAGCTGTCAGGAGCTGAATTTGAGCTTGACCTGGGTGGTGAATTCTTATATCTAGACTATGGAAGCATTATTTTTTGGGTGTTATTTTTGAGACCAGCAGCGGCCAAACAGCAAAGAGGCCAACTTTGATATATCTGCGTCGTTTTCCTGATGCTTGATGCAGCCTTATTTGAGTCGCAGGCTAAGGGAGGCGTGTGGCTTGAACGCCAAGCCTTGGCCAGCAATCTGAGTCTGTAAGGGATATTTGAAGATCGCCACCAACCTCGTTACAACTGTTGTATCCGTGATCTTTCCATTATCCATGTAGAGGGGAGGATCTATTGTGTAAGTTCCTCGGCATCCAGGTTAACCATTCACAGTCAGAGTAGCCCTTTCCTGTCATTTTGAATGTCTATTCAGTATAGTGAGAAATACATCTTGGTATTGCCCGATAAAGTGAATGAATCAACAACTAAAGGTTCAAGCATCATGTACGAAGGCAGGGTCCTGTTGAAGATCGTGGAAGAGCCCCTCTACTCCACATCTAGTCGGCTTTCGCGTTGAACGCCCAGAGCCGAGTTGGGTCTAGAATACCTTCTCCACGACTTCCCCACCTGAGCTTACCAACCGACACTCAATGTCGTTACACTGATGGTATTCTAACTTGGTTTTTGCACCAGTCCTCAAAGCCGGACTTGTCTATCGGTCGGATTTACAAACGGCGCCGCAATGACTTCCGGCGGTACCTTGTTACTCATCGGACATACTCGCTGTCCGGGCGGCACCGAGGTCAAGATCGACCCAGATCAGACCGGTTAGGTCGTCGGAGCTGACATACATCATCCGAGCTCTGATATCTCAGAACAAATACGTGAAATCTAATTGAATAATGATCGCAAAATGGCTACAGACGGCTTAGCCTAATCGACGGGCCGCCTGGCGCTTACAACCCCGTAGCGTGGTGATGACGTCAAAATCTGGGGTAGTTGACAAGGAGGAAACTCAAACAGGGGCATCACAGACCCCCTGCCAACCTACCCGCTACTAACCATCCTATGGGAACACAGCCGAATCGTATGTCATCCATCGCGCTCGCCCCTTTCCTACGTGCCTCATTTGTAAGCTGGCGAAGTTACATGTCGAATGTGCCCCTGCTGCCATACGTACTTAATTAAGGTTCAGTTCCGGCCTGAAGCTCCTCCCCGGGGTTGATGCTTATCTTCATCTAAGATGCGACTGTCCCCTGCATCGAAGAGGATCTCAAAACACTTTGCCATCACTGGAAACCGATCGTATTTGTTCAACTTTGCGAGATCAATCAACATGGCGACGGCTTACAACATCAAGGTCACGGTTGGAAACACTGGGTTGTGGAAGTTCAATCAGCAGGATGCCTCCGCGAATAAGGTGTCTGAGCTTCTGCAAAAGGACCTCGAAGTAAGGCCCTCACAAAACAATCTCATCTTATCAGACTTGTCATGACCATTGCATAGAAACACCATGTATTCTTCAACGCTGAAGGATTCCACAACCACGTTAGTTGTCTCTCACCCACCGTAGAAACTATCTCACCCCCCTGTTAGATACCTCATCACCTCCTTGCCCTCTACGGCACTGGCGCCGACTCTGATGCTCTCCAACTCGCATGGAAAGACAACGCAAACTACCAGCGTCCAGCCAAGGACCCCAGCAACGGGGTCGCAGATGAGCTACACGACTGGGACAAGGCGCAAAAGTACCTCGGCAGGGAGAAGCACTATTCCGACTTCCTCCTCTTCTTCCAGCGCGAGATCGAGAAGAAGGGATGGGAGGAGACGCTGAACGAGTACCTCTTCAAGGGTGACGCGCGCGCCGAGGACATGTTTCAGCGCATGTTTGGGGGGTTCCTGCACCCCATCATTCAGCTCATGTACGGCGTCGAGTGGGAGCAGCCGGCCATCGTCGCTGAGGCCCTGGCAGAGGCTTCCGTTCACAAGAACCAGCTTGGTGAATTCTTCAATGAGGCCGAGAAGAACGCAAAGAATGCGAAGACGCCGATGCCCGAAATCATGGATTTGATCGAGGAGATTAGAGGGAGGGAGAAGTTGGTGAACTCGGTACAGATGAAGGATTCGAACAAGGTTTTTGACGGGGTTCTCAAGCGTGCGCCAGGTGAGATGACGGAGGTTGTGAGCAAGGTAAAGGTCTTGCCTGAGGAACTTGATGAGAGGACCGCAGAGATGTTCCACGCGAGTTGCTATGTTGCTGGGACTGCAGCAATAAAGCCTGGAAAGGAGACCAGGTGGGACTTTTTCTTGATGTGAGTACCCGGGGCATTTGAAAAGTTGAGCGCAGCTGAAAGTAAGCAGTCACCACGTCAACGCATCGCCAATCTTCCTTTGCTTCAACTCCAAATCCTGGATCTCCACAGAGAACAAGATTCGGATGCTGGAACACAAGATCCGTATGGACCTCGTCCAGTACGCGGCGCGCGGTAGTCCGCAGATCCGCGCCGACGCGATCAGCTCGTACAGGCCGAAGGACAAGGACCAGAACAAGCAGCTGGTTTCCAAGCCTACAGGTTAGTTCAGTCGCTCAAGTCAATGAGAGAAAGTATGCTTACATCAAGACAGATCTCCTTCCTAGATTCCACCACCAGTCTGATGATGGGCACACCATCAAAGTGGTACGAGCACTCGGAATTTGTCAGGAGCTGTCCCAGAAATACAGCAACAAGCCATGGATCAGGATTAAGAATGACGATGAATGGCTCAAGCTGCATTATTCAGTCCTGGACGGAACGGAACACTCTGGCACGAAATGGGTTCGATCGACTGGCCTGGATGAGGCATGGAAGGTGAGCAGTCGAAATGAGATCATCGAGCTTTGTCGCTAACTTGCTTAGGACGTACCTTCTCGAGATTCCTCGAAACTGTAAAGGAAGCTTCGCTGACGGCCGAGGTAATCTACAAGGTATTATCGAGGATGTAGGATGCCGGGAATTGTAAAAACGGGGTATACATTGTAATTTTATCTATTCCAGCCCATTATCTAATCCATACCAATCCAACCCTCACCATCAGACTCGCCCTCGCCATCCTCAGCGTCTCCAATTGCTAGCGTCTTGCTGGGTGCGTCGTAAGCCGCAAGATCCAGCATCTTCACACCGCTCGCCTCCTGCTCACTGGCCTGTCCAAGCAGGTAATCCACCATGTACACGTTGTCGTCCGCCAGCCTCCTGATCTCATCCCTCATTCGTGCGACAGCTCTCGAAACAACACGCAGTTCAACGTCAACCTTGCCCCTGTGCTGCGTGAGCCAGGCACCGTGCTTGTCGACTAGTGCCTTGACCCAGAGCAGACAGAACTCAATGTGCGGCGTCTCCTCCGTCTGCGCGGCCACGAAGCGGAGTAACCTCGGGACGTAGACGATTGGCGTGTCCTCAACGACGAGGGCGATGTCACTGTGCGGTATTGAGAGGAAAACACGCTTGATCAGACCGGCCTCATTGAGACGGAAGGCCATGACCAGGGCCTTGAGGTAGTCCTTCTCGTTTTCGAGGACGGCAAGGGTGGAGGCGGGGGTGATTTCCATGTTCAGGTCGAAAGGATCGAACTGAAGGAGGTTGTCGAGGCTGTAGATCAACAGGCCCTCGGTGGAGGCGGCGCAAAAAGCCGTGCCTGTGGGCGCGAAGGCGACGCCTGAGACGCGGACTTCGGGCTGCTTCTTCCTCGAAGAAGGATCGCCGCGCTTAGAGCCTGGGAGGGTGTTGTCCACTCTGTCCTCACGATCAGAGGCCTCTTGGTCGTCGACCATGGCGTCGGGGCCGGCTTCGGTGAGGTGCCTGCTGTTGAGGAACTCTTGCGTTCCGGAGAGAGAGAGGTTGACGCTGACAGTGAACTTCTTGAGAAGCACCATCGTGTGGACTGAGTAAAGGCAGATGTACTTGCTGTTGCCGCCGGCCAGCAAGCAGCTGCCATCTGTGCTGTATCGGATCGTGTTGAAGCTCTTTGTGCCTGACACGTTGGCTGCTGTTCTGCGGTCGGTGATCTTACGACCACCAGAGACATCGCGGCGGCCGTCTACACCTGACACCTGCTCTGCATCCTGGATAGACCAGAACGACAGCTGGCCATCCAGCGTTGAGACGGCAAGCTGCAGCGAGTCGGGGCGCACGGCGATGTCGAGCACATCGGCTTGTAGCTGCAGAGGCTCGCTTGTTTGTGTTCGGTTGAAGATGGACCACACCCTTGCGGTGCGGTCCCAGCTGCCACTGATGAGAGAGTCTCCGTTTGGTGTGAAGGCCAAAGCGGACACAGGTCCTTCATGTCCTGACAGTTGGTCCAGAAGCTGACCTGTCTGTACAGACCAGATGTGGATATCGAAAGAGTCCAGAGATCCAGCAGCGACGACCTCGCCACTGGGGTCAACGGCCATGCAGGACCACGATAACCTCGTCGGGGCCGTGAATGTCCTGAAGTTTCTATATCTGATGAGATCCCACGCTCTTACTGAGCCGTCCAAGCTAGATGTGAATAGAACGTTGCCTTTCTTGGAGAACTCGCAGGCTGTCACGCCACTCGTATGCTCTGTGAAGGTGACAATACAGAATCCTGACTCGACGTCCCAAACTTTGATCTTTCCGTCGTCGGCGATCGTGACGATACGCTGGCCGTCAGGCGAGTAGACCAGGGAGTTCATGGAATCGAAGTGACCCTGCTGCTTCAGGATGTACGACTCCGACTGCCATTCCCAAACCAATAATTGACCTAGCTTCGACGCGCCAAAAGCCAACCACTCGCCGCTCTTGTTGATCGTTACAAAGTCGATGTCGTTTTGAGAGATGTTCAGGTTGTGGATCATGTTGAAGTCGGGCATCTCGTACAGGCCAAAGGTACCGTTGGAGAAGCCGGCCACCAACAGATTGGACTCGGGGTGGAAGGTCGCGCAGCGCACATGCGCGCTGCCCTGCATGAAGTAGTGTCGGTTGACTATCCTCCAGCGCATATCGTCCTCGTCGACGTCGACCATCTCGTCCTCGTCCTGAACCGGCTTTCCGACATACTGCCAATCGAAGACTGCGCCGTCTTTGCTGACCGTGTAAATTGTCTCCTGGTCTTCAGAAAACCAGGCGCCAATCACAGCTTGCTTGTGACCGGAGAGCACCGTAGGCACGAATCCTTCTTCCTGAGTCAAACTCCATATCCTGGCCGTCAGATCCTTGGACGTGCTAAGGAAGAATCGCGAATCGCTAGACCATTCGATGTGGCGCACGTCGTCAAAGTGGCCGGTGTGGGTGTGGTATTTCACAAAGGGGGCGAACTCGAGTTCTCCTTCGGCGTTGGCGTCCGGGGTGGATGGAACGTGCCAGACCTCGATCTTGCGACCCAATCCAACGGCAAAGTGGCGTCCCGATGGGGCGAATGACAGCGTGGTGGGAGCTGACTTGAAGGAGAATCGGTAAATGGCGATTCGGCGAAGGACGTTCGTCAGGATAGCTTGGCCATCTTCGTCGATAGACAGCAACAGGTTTCCCCGGGGCGTCAGGCCGATTCTCGAGATGTTCTTTCGATGCGCAAACGGAAGAGTGTGAGACTTGTTGCTACAGATCACGATTAGCATACCAGTGCCATACGCGCCAATTCGCGACATTTCGCAAGCCTTCACCTACTTCACAAGATCGAAGACAGTGACCCTGTTCCCTACGGGGGAGAACAAATGGGTGCCATCGGGGCTGAAGAGCAGGTTGCCCTGGCAGTAAACCGTGCCGAGCAAGTTGGAGAACTACAAGGTCAGAATTGCATGCGCTTGCGGGAAAAGACGCGAACCGTACCTTGAAATCGGTCTTCATTGTCAATTGGCACCCATTTCCTCACCTTGAAGCTACAGAAATTCTCTCCAAGTTTCTTATCGATTGAGCCGGGACTGGACTTTTTTTGGTGGGGTCGGCGAATCATTCATCCCTATTTCCGCGGGCTATCCCCATCAAGGTAAGGCGCGCTGTTGGGTGAACGGACCAGGGGAAAAGGGGACTGATTGGCAGGAAAAGGGGGGCCCTTTCATTAGTCCCCTGGACAAATGCCCAATGAATGTGCAGCAGACAACCCCAGAAGACCGTAAGGGAAATTTGGAGGTGGCACCTTTTGATTCCCCTGAAGCACAAGCTCAAACCTCCCCAACTCAACTGTCAACACGCCCACACCGCAACCACATCACGAAATCCGTCGCGTGTTCAATTGCGAGACTCGCGGCCAAACAGCTCCAATCAGCCATCAACAACGTGTTTTGAGCAGTCAACCTTCAAATACCGCCCAAAATGGCCCCCGCCGCCGCCGAGAGCGCTTCACCGATTGGTATCGCCAACCTCCCCAACCAGCGGCATAAGATTGTCGCCAAGCGAGGAGCTGGCTTTACTATTATGGTACGAAAATTCTGTTGAGAGGCATCTCGCTGGACGACCTTGGACGGGATACTGATTGAATTCTAGGTTGCGGGCGAGTCTGGCCTTGGAAAGACTACCTTCATCAACACCCTCTTCTCCACGACCATCAAGAACTATGCCGACCACAAGCGCCGTCACCAGAAGCAGGTCGACAAGACCGTCGAGATTGAGATCACCAAGGCTGAGCTTGAGGAGAAGTTCTTCAAGGGTATGGTTCTCCCAGGAACCCCAATGTCTGGATCATACGATTAACCTGCTATAGTCCGCCTGACCGTTATCGATACCCCCGGCTTCGGCGACTACGTCAACAACCGCGATTCGTGGATGCCCATCATCGAATTCCTCGACGACCAGCACGAGTCTTACATGCTTCAGGAGCAGCAGCCCCGCCGCCAGGACAAGATCGACCTCCGTGTCCACGCCTGCTTGTACTTCATCCGCCCCACCGGCCACACCTTGAAGCCCCTCGACATCGAGGTCATGAAGAGACTTTGCTCGAGAGTGAACCTGATTCCGGTCATCGCCAAGGCTGATACTCTTAGCCCTGCGGACCTGGCCAAGTTCAAGCAGCGCGTATGTGTCTGTGATTATTTCCTACTGACCAACACTGACGTGCTCCAACACAGATTCGCGCCGTTATCGAGGCTCAGAGCATCAAGATCTACCAGCCCCCCGTCGAGGAGGACGATGAGGCTGCTGCTCAGCACGCTCGCAGCTTGATGGCCGCTATGCCCTTCGCCGTCATCGGTTCCGAGAAGGATGTCAAGTCCGCCGACGGCCGCGTCGTCAAGGGTCGTCAGTACTCTTGGGGTGTTGCTGAGGTCGAGAACGAGGACCACTGCGACTTCAAGAAGCTCCGCTCCATCCTCATCCGCACCCACATGCTCGACCTTATCCACACCACCGAGGAGCTTCACTACGAGGCCTACCGCGCTCAGCAAATGGAGACCCGCAAGTTCGGCGAGGCCCGCCCCAGGAAGCTGGACAACCCCAAGTTCAAGGAGGAGGAGGAGGCGCTGCGCAAGCGTTTCACCGAGCAGGTCAAGATCGAGGAGCAGCGTTTCCGCCAGTGGGAGCAGAAGCTCATTGCCGAGCGCGACCGCCTCAACAAGGACCTCGAGCAGACCCACGCCCAGATCAAGCAGCTCGAGACCGAGCTGGAGCAGATGCAAGGAAGCGCCGTCCGCAGCCACGGCCGCCGCTAAATGTGTCCACGGTGAGGCTTTGCCTCGAGTTTTTAGCGGTTTATGTCTCGGCAGTCGGTGCTTGCTGGATTCTCGACATTTGTTCTTCTCTTAGCTTCCGGGGATCGAAGACACCAAAGGCCCGCATCGTCCCCGGTCTTCCAGACGCATCTTTATGGATATGCCACTAAATCTGGTCGTTCGTACTGGACGCCGTGATCGACTTTATGACTACGACCTGAGTCTTATCAAAAGAACAACACACCAAAGCCACGTCCAACGACATGGTATGAGATGGGCTATGCGTCGGGA